ATATGCTCATTAGCACAAATACGATGGATATGTGGAGTTTATATTTTGGTTTGTATTAAGAAAGTGGTAAAGAATGAATGTATTAATAAACATACTTTCCAAAATCCATAACCCCATGGACGTCCATCGCCATATAAACTTGGATTTATCTGTAAATCAAATTTAAAATATATATTCTTAAAATTATTTTATATAGTAAACACAATCATATCAACAAGACAAAAATGTATTTAAAAAAAAAAAATTACCATCCAACCAACTTGGATATAATTATATTGGTTGTCAACTCGATTTCCCACATATATATGAGCGTATGAAACTTGGTCTTTGCTAATATTCAAATCGTGTACACTTATCCAAGATGCCATACGATGGTAAGGACCGTAATCTTGTAATCTAACTCCTGCAAACTTTAAATTCATATTTTTAATAAACTTAAAATAATTGAAAGTAATATAACGAGGATGTAATTGGTTGCTTACATGAGCCCCACGAGTTCCATCTGAGAAGGGATCGAAATAATTTTCTGGAGCATTTGCCACAACCTTTTTTATGTTTCTTAATATAGGAACTGTTTTATTTGGACAATTGATGATTTTTGTATACACTTCGCTTTCAATTTGACTGTTGGATTTAGAATTTGAAAAAGATGGTTTCATCTGTACAAAATATATTGTCACACGATGGATAGGTGAGTGAGCGATTAAATCATATGAGACTTAGAGAAAACTACAGTTAAGTATGATATGTACTCCAAGAATCCAAGACAATTATTCCAAATGCTTATATTTTATATATAGATAAAGGTTACATTATGTTATCGATGATATACTCCAAATTAAATTAAAAGCATAGTTAATTTTGGGAGCATTTTGTAAAACTATCTTAATCAAATTTACAATTTCATAAAAGCGATAAATATATTTTATGTTTTGAGTAGGAAAGATTTAACTATAAAATGTAGTATAAGGTTAAATAATAGTATAATTTGTATTAAAAATTGTTTGATGAAAAATACCTGAATTTTGTGATTTTTAAGTAGAGGATGATTTAACGAAGGTTGTTTGTAGATATCCACACAATCATATATCATCATCTCATTCAACTATGAAAATAAACAAATAAGATAGACAGAAGTTAGTTACAAAATATCAACATAAGTAATGCACATAAAATATAGATGTCAAACAATCGACGCTTTTATCAAAAATAATCATATCACATATCCATTTTTTTCAGTTTACCTTAACCGATTTAGATATTTTTATGGTTTCTCTAGATTGAACTAGAGAGAATGAGATCATAAGTGCAACGAATTTGAGAACGTAATCCATGAATTACGATAAATATTATAGAATGCCTTCTAGTAGTGTTCTCTTGTTTTATTACCTAATATTCAAGTATTTATAATAGCTACGGATGTTATGTTTAATATTTGTTTTATTGTGTCATCATATTTAATATTCCATCCGTTTCATTATATATATAATGTTTAAGAGAAGTTTTTTTGTTTCATTTTATTTGATGTTTTCATATTTCTATGATTTCTATGCAAAAATTAATTGTGTTTTTGTTGTTTTGACTGTTTAAATTCTGCAGATTACTTTTTTTATTAATTGAATTATTTTGGAATTGATGATAAAACATGTTTTATATTGAAAAATTAAAAGATTAAATGACTTCTTAATCCATATACAAAATTTTGAAATACTAGTTTTTTTTTTTGGTAAAGTGTACTTTAGTTTTTAATACAAATTAGTGGCCCATTTGTTTTTTTAACTATTAATATACACTTTACTTTTTTTTAAATGGGGTTAACGTCTGATCATAATATTAGTACCATCAGATTTTTTTTTTAATATACACTTTAAATTTGTTTATTGTGTTAGATTTCATATACATAAAATAAAATAAAAAATTGTCCTCTCTCCTTCTCTCTTTAGGGGTATCAATAATAATATACATAAAAAGGTTTTGTTATTTTCCTATTGATAAATTTGACTTTTAATACACAATTAGTGCCACTTGTTTTTTTAACAATTAATAAACACTTTAGTTTTCTTAACTGTGTTTAATTTTTTGGTTTAAGTGTTTTAGTACCATCAGATTTTTTCTTAATGTACACATTAATTTTCTTTATTGTGTTCAGATTTTATGTAATACGCATTAAAATGAGTATTTATAATTAGGACTATTTCATTGAAAAAGGTATATTACCATTATAAATAAAAAGTGAAAATATTAATGACAATTATGTGAAACTTTAGTTTAAAGAAACGTGATCCCGTCGGCCAAAAGTATAACATTTTGGATATGGACCCTTGTTTTCGGCCATCCACATGGATATGGATCCTTACTTTCGGTTCATTTACATATTCGGGGAGAAGGTCTAGCCATAGGATGCACCTCCCTCAGAGATTAGTTTGGGTCATTTGACCTAAGACTTACCATGAGTTATGAAAAAAAAAACATAACATTTTCTAAGTATAATAAAATTAATATTAATAGTCAACTAACGCGCCGTTTAATCCATAATAA